CTCTTCCCCAAGCCTGTAGCGTTGCATGGGGTAACCATGAAAGAAAAAGAACCTTATCTTGTAGGCTCTGGATCAGCTCTTAAGCTGGGACAAACTTACTTCTGGTAAAAGTGGGCTTATGAAAACCACCAGTTGCCCCAGTCAGAGGGAAAGCTGCAACGCTCTGGATCAAGACACTGGCACGTGCTCACCTGACGACAGGCAAACTCAGTAATGGATCCACCCCACAGAGCAGGACCCCATCCAGTTTTGCTTTCATGCCAGAAGATTCTCCTACTTACCACTGTGAAGGTTTTGATTTTCTACCTCCAGGTGAGAAATTCTGGAAAGGAGTTCATTTTGGTCACCGGGAGGCCCCGAAGAGGTTGTGCTCGCGCTCTGCAACAAGGAAAACCAAGCTGAAACCAATCTGTTCACCCACTCCCAAGCTCGGTGGTTCAGTGAAGCAAAGCAGAGTCATGCCTTCAGGGAAGGAGAACATTGGAGAGCTAATCTAAGAACAAGGACGTTTCCTCTAAAGGTTTTATAAAAAGAATACGCTAGTTCTACAGAATGAAGCATGAAACGTATCTCAAGAAATTTCAGCTGGCACTGGTGAGCAAAGGGTAAAATTCTTCGCAGTCTCGGATCACAGCTTGCCACTGAGCACGCAGAAGGTTTCGAAAGTTTCAGGCTAAAGCCCCTTAGAAGGGGCAGCTGCTCTCCTCTCCCAGGCGAACTGAGGCACAGAAGCGACCTGCCTAACGTCACACCGCGAGTCACCGTGGAAGCCGGGAAGAGATCCAGCGTTTCTACACTCCCACCTTCCCCCGTCCAGCCTTTGATCCCTCTCAAAACAACTGAGAACTACTTTAACACATCCTGAGTGAGCAAATATACCAACCCAGCTTCAAAAGTATTTGTTTTAACAGCAAAAAAGAGCTTACATTTTCCTTTTTAAGGAGGCCATTATCTATAAATTCATATCAAAGGGAAAGAAAACATCAGGCCTTCATGCTTCGCTTGAAATGTCATTTATAACTGAATATAATAATAGAGAAAATAATCTGTCGTCTTTCAAGCGCACCCTGTGTATAATTATGAAGTGGCTCTCGGTTGCAGTTGCCATGCTTCTCAGATCTCAGCAGTCACGTAAGATGGAGAGAGGGAAGTACCGGGGTTAAGAGGAGGAACATGTGGCACACGGAGAGCTGGGCTGGGAGATGCCTGGCCCTGGGAAACGGATGGAGCAGGGCAAGAAGAAACCCTTCTTCACCCACCCAAAAAAGGGGCAGGGAGCTGCAAAAGCACCACGGAATCAACCTCCGACGCAGCCTTTGCAGGGGATGCAGGCTCAGGAACACGCGTGCAGATCTGCAGTCCCCAGACACCAAGCTGGGAGAACTTGAATGCCCTGCTAGAAGATCCTGTTGTACGGGGTGAGCTATGACCGGGTGCTGAAGGACAAACGCTTCTCAGCGTAAGGAAAGAGAACGTGGTCCATCTCGCCAAGGCAGGGGTGTCCTCGCCCTACAACGTCCTCTCAAATCACACAACCAGCTCCATCCGTGCGCAGGTGACTTACAGTTGAGCGGCCTGACTGCCTCTTGTGACGGGCAGAAGGAGCTTCTTTACTACGAGGAACTGTCTTCTGCTGCGAAGGGCAAAAGGGTTGGGGGACGTTTGATTCAACACGAAAGAGAAGAAGGATTTCACTCATGCCACAAGAGGCAGTTCAAGTGCAAGAAGCAGATCCGCATGCAGGACAAACCGTCAAGCAACAAGATGCGGCCTCACACCGACTACACACCGAACCAAGCCTGCACGGAAACGTTCATCCATGAACTCTGCCATCTTCTTGTTAAACCTCTCAGTGCCTGCAAAAAGGTCACGCAGCTGGGTGGCACAACGAGGCCGAGATGTCTAGAGCGTGGTCTCAGTCATCTCCCCATCTGAGAAATCCAAAGGTCACGCAGCTGGGTGGCACAACGAGGCCGAGATGTCTAGAGCGTGGTCTCAGTCATCTCCCCATCTGAGAAATCCAAAGGTCACGCAGCTGGGTGGCACAACGAGGCCGAGATGTCTAGAGCGTGGTCTCAGTCATCTCCCCATCTGAGAAATCCAAAGGTCACGCAGCTGGGTGGCACAACTAGGCTGAGATGTCTAGAGCGTGGTCTCAGTCATCTCACCATCTGAGAAATCCAAGGCGCGTGCACGACCATAGCGGACTCCGCTAGCTCTCCTGTCGTTAGATAAAATCTAATCCCGACAGAAGAAGAAACACAAAAAGAGGCCGCTAGCCACAGTGGGCTCGTCACACCAGGCTAGCTCTAGCCCGGCACACCAAGGCCAACA